GTTCCTGCTAGAGAGGTGTGTGTTTCTGATTATACCAGTTCTGACCTCAGCAGGTCCTCCATCTGGAAAAACCTTTTCAAAAGTTAAATGAGTCTGTGACTTTCTTGTGTCTAGCAGCAGTAGGACCGGTTTGTTTACAATAGTGCATCCTCTGAGGTTTTTATCAGGTTAATTTCCTTACAAAAATGTGGGGTGTTGCCTGAGGAACCTACGCTATACTGAACTTAACTGGAGTGGTGGAATCACTGTCCCTGGAGGTGTTCAAAAGCTGTGTGGGTGTGGCAGCTGGCCTGCTGCGATAGTGGCTAGACTCCGGTCTTAGAGGTCTTTTCCAAAGCTAATGATTCTATGATTCACATTACTAAGTGGGTAAAGTTTACTGGTGGAGTCTTATTTCACTATTTATGATAGCATTCCTGACCTGAGGGGATTTCTTCTTGGTAGCAGTGGCAGGTAGGTGGCACTCAGGTCTGCTTTGTCTGCTGAAATTCCAGTGCGTCACCTTAGTTCTCACATTATCGCTCAGACTTTCATTGCTGCTGGTATCTCACCAAGGTGGGGCAGATGCATTGGATTGTGCCAGTATTATTACTAGAGTGTTTCTTTGTTCTGAACAGGCAAGAAAGCAGATTAGACGCTGAAATTACTTCAAAGTAATTTGATTTCTGGTACGCAGCAGAAAAACTCAAAACAAGAGCTCATCTTTAAGTCAATATTCATATCACCTCTCACACTGGAAGTGTGAAATCATGATGTAATCTTCAAAAGATGTAGTTACTACTGATAGTCAAAACACTGGCCAAAGAATATGCAAACAAAGGATGTGGTTCTAGTTCCTGAAATGTTGTCTATTACTGTAGGAAAGTTTGTCTGTTCCCCCAAACACTCAGCTGTTTACAGAACACACAGGTGGGACAGGGAGAACACACCATACATGTGGAACAAATTATTGCAATTAGAACTGGTAGCTTTCAGGTCACTGAGTTAAGGCCTCTGTTGCCATGATGAACTACCTGATTCAACTTCATAAAATCATCTGTCTTGTAATATTGCTTGGAGAGATCAATAGATTTGATAGTGTATCCAGTAATGCAGTATTGGTGGAACCTCATCCTTCCAGAGGATTTCAAGCCACTTCAGCCAGGTTTTCCCTGTTAGGCAGTACTATCCATAATAATGGATGGTGTCAGGAAAGCAAGTTTTGAAGCTTCTGGTCTTGCAATGAGTGGAAATAATATGCTTTTGTAAGAGTGGTATGAAAAGAAAGGCCAGTGTGAGGTGCAGGTGTCCCGATTAGCAAGTCACAATGGTACCTGGATCAGAAAAATCTTTGTTGCACTGTCTCACATTCAGCCTTCCAAAAACTGTTTTTTTGATTGGTGGCATCAGCAGCAGGCTGAAGCTGGCTGGCTAGGATAGCATGTTCAGGCTGGCTTTCTGTGCTTTCTGTGCTTCTGGTGCGTTCGATGGTGTAAGGTAACAACTTCAGCGCTGCAGTGCTGGAGACATGGGTTTGGGGTGTAATGTGCTCAGATATACCAGCCATCTGAGATTGGGCATCATCCACCAAGACCCCATTTTCAAAAATCCACATTTATATTGTCTTCAATGGGGAGGAAGAGTCCAGAGAAACGAGCGTGGATTACAAGTAAATTCAACTCTGAACTAACTGATAGTGACTTATGAATAATTTTCAGTGCTTGCAGCTTTCTGCTTTTTACCAGCGCATTTTGTCATTCCACGTGAATCTTTAAAGTGTTATAGTGCCTCAGCATCCAGACTATCTAAAGGCAGGAACAGATGCAGAACTGAAGTGTCTTAGAGAAGCACATTCAGTCCTCTACTGTAGCAGGCGCAACCAAGCTACATTGTCAAATGTAATTTGTAAAAATTATTAAGATAAAGCTCAGTAAATGCATGTTGTTGACCCCTGCAACTTCTGTTTGAAAGGCTGTTGCAAAACCACTTGCCTATGTATTTTGGGGTAATATTTCTAATGCTTGTTGATCATTAGAATGGGAGAGGCTAATTCTCAAGAACAGACTTACAAAGAAACAAAAATTACTTTTGACTTGCAAATTTCTCCCTATTAGCTACAGTTCATGGACTTAATACTCTTCAAGGATTTTTCTTTTATATTGTGCATGTATTTCAGGGTTTTTCGCATGCTTTTTTATATTTTAAAATGAACTAAGCATTTGTGGCCATGATGTTTGGAAACCCTAGTTGCTTTTTTTCCCCCCTCTGACAACTTGTATTTCATTTCCCACAGTGTTGCAGATACCAAGTAGAACAAAGCTGAAGGTTCCCTATTATGATTTTGTTTGATCTACTGCAAATTAATTTACAGACTCAGTGATAGCTGCTGGGAAATGAAGGATTGGTTTTGTTTGGTCAGTGAAGATGACAGGCATGGATCAAATAAGGGTTAACAATAATGCACTTGAACAGATTGAATCAGAACATAATGCATGTATTGAATTTGATTGCAACATGCATGTCCATGGAAAAGGTTTTTGTTTAAAAGAAATCAAGGCTATGGCTTAATTATCAAAGCAAAACAAGAGACATAAAGAGCTACATGTTTCTGATACTCCTTTTTTCAAAAATAGCTCCCTTCACACAGTTATCTACATGTTTAATTTCCATGCATAATAGCAACAGTTATTGTTGTCATTTGTTACGAGAGATTAACAGATAGAAAGTACAAACGCAAATAAGGCCTGAATAGAGAGGTGACAAAGAAGAAAAGACCTCTTTACTGTTAATTATAACTGGTGGGAAGTCTATACAAATGACATTAACTGTTTTCTATATGAATTGAAGTGACATCCAGTTTGTTCTCAAACATGTGTATCTACTCAACACATTTGGGCATTTTATTGTACACAATAACTTAAATCTTTGTTTTTTGAATATAGTTTATTGAGAAATGTACTGCTCAGTAAAACTTGTATATTTTGATCATTATTTCTTAGTAGCTGAAAACAAGCCTAATAGTAAGCTGTTGAATTTAAGTGGTTATTTTTATCCTAAGCTTTAGTTTAGTCAGGGGGTTTTCAGTCTTTTCACCTGTTTTTTGTAACCAGCAGAGCCTCCCAGTGCTTTCTTCAACAGTGACTGCATTAGACTGAAACAATTGCATAAAGAAACTGGCTTCAAATGTCATTACTCAGTGGTTGTTTGAGAGGACTTTCTGTGCATTCCCTTATAAGACAGTAGAAGCTGTACCTTGTGAGTGGTGTAGTCCTTTGTTTCATAATTGTTAGCTAAAAAGGCCAATAGGTGGCAGAAAACACAGTTACTTTTATCATACATTATTTTCATGGTTGTCTATTTTTGAATATTCTGTTCACCTGAAGCTGGGATGCTGCTCCCATTCCAGGCTTTGTTTTTTCATTCCCATGCTTTTGCATTCCATAACAAACTATCTTACTATCTGGAAGTTTCCATTGTTTGTTTTTCTAATATAACAAATTGTTTCAAAGTTCATATGTAGTAATTTAATATGTTTTGAGTCATGAATGTTCTCTTTGTGCACACAGAATCTGTTCATAGTTACAGCTGACACAATTAAGTTCTTCAACAGGAGGGTTTTGGAATGGGTGAGGACACCCTCCACACCTCCCCCTGTCTGGCTGTGTATTTTAAGGTGCTGTTTATGTCAGATTGCTGCCAGATGTTTCATAGGAGGTAGAGATGCCACAGAATAAACACATTTCCAAGCAGAGCATCTCTTTTGTCTCTAAAAATTAACTTAATGCAAGATCTGTGAGAATTCATTATCCTTACAAAGATGTTTTTGTGTTTTCCCTCACAGTGGCTCTAATGATATTCTTGGTATTCATGTAGGTGAGTGCCTGAAGATCTCAATGCTATCCTTGAATAGCTTTTTTGGTAGGTTATTCCATGTCTGTTTAAACTGAGTTATTCAATCAGTGTGAGACAACAAATAAGCACCTTCCTCTTTTAGAGATAAATCTTAGGTTCATTTGCAAAACCAAAGCCAAGGCCTGTCTTTTTCACTTGAGGCTCATTTGTGCCCACTGACTTCAAAAGACACAGCTCAGATGCCTGTCAGGTCAGGCCCTAAGTTATGATTTCTCATAGTGAACCATGTGTTGATGAAGTAGCTCAGTCTTGGTGAGCAGTGTCTTACGTTGCTAATGTCAGTTCTGAAGTATATGTCATAAATAAATGGTATATGACAAAGAAAGTGGTACTAGGACTGCTAGGGCAACAGTTGTGCAAGAGACCAAATCACAGAAGGTTTTTGAATTTTTGACATTTTCTCACTGTGCAGTTTTAAACTGATATTGCTGATCTACATAACAGTAAAGTTCATGCTTAGTGGTCTGATACACTGACCATATTGTTTCCAAAACCCCTTACTTTATTAAGAGGGTCTAGAGCAGGGAGAATTTCTGCTTCCCAAAATCTGTTAGGTGAATTGCTTTTGGAGATGCTTTTTTCTTTATCCATTTACTATAAATGGTTCATGGGGTAAACTAATAGATAATAATGGATAAGCTTAACTGGGTATCAGGCTTTAGATGTCAGAGCTGGGTGAAATCAATTTAACTGCATAAGTAAATACACTCTTTCCATTCCTGCACTGTGGGCTTAAACACACATTTCAGGAAGTGCTATATACATTGATATTTCCTTGATGTTCTTCACACAGTTTTTCTGGTCTGTCTGTATGGACTAAAAGCTCTGCTCTGCAAGGGCAGCAGGAAGTGTTTTGATGGCACCAAGTGGGATAATACTGAGTATACGACATGGCTGTAGAGATGGCGAAAGAGGAGAGGTCTCTGAATAAACAAAGTTATTTGGAAAGGATTTGAGGATTCATCTTAAAAAGATAAAAACTAAAACAGTCTTGGAGCACTTCTGAACTTATTATAGAATATATTTTTAAGTTGCAATCCAAGTGGAAATTATGTAGAAGTCATTGCCAGAGCATAACATTGGGACAGCTTGTCAAAGAGCTAGTGAGAATGGAAGCAAGCAACTTTCTGAGTTGTCCTCTGATTCATAACATTTCTGTCAAAGCACCAGAGATCCAGGTATGATTGGATTTAACTTCCTTGCAGGAGCAACAAAAAATTTGGAAATGGGCAAAAATAACCAGTCACTATGCCCAGCAGCGACATCACCAGTCTGAAATGCAGAGTTTGACAGGGTTGAGCTGCTCAGGGTGGTAAAACCAGGAACTGCTTAAGAGTTGCAGGAAGACTAAGTTGACTTCTCAGTTAACAATAGAAGCTTATATGCTCTGCCAAGTAAGTGGAAGTGAGGAAATGCTAAAAAAACAAACTTAATTTTGTGTTCAATGTATTATTGACCTAGTTGGGAAGAATAAAATTATAATTCTTGAAAAATAATAAATATTTTTCTGGAAATGACTGCTCAATGCCTAGATGCTCGGTAGTGTGCTCTAGGCAGACAAATTGAGGAGGAAAATGAGCAGAGAAGAAGATGGTAAATAACAGTCTGTTTCTGCATAAATCCATGTTCGTTGGTATCTTGAATACAGTGTGCAGTACTGGTTTCATCTCCCTCCCCAATTGTCCTATTGTCCCACACTCTCTTATTTCCAAAAAGACCTGGGGAGACATTCAGAGAAAGGCAGCAAAGATTTGGAGTGGTTTCCAGACAAAGAACAACTAAGGAAATTAGTACTGTGGTTTGGAAAAGACTTTGATTGAAGGTGATGTGATAGATGTGGGGAGGTCTGTAAAATCATGAGTGGCACAAAGAAGGTGAATGCAGAATGATTTTTCCTAGTCTCTCCTGATGCAAGAACTAGAAAGTGTTAAAAGAGAAGCTGTGTGTGTGGGGGTATGTTCAAGAAAAATAAAGCACTTTTCCATATAGATTATGGTTGTTCTGCAGGATGTTGCAGATGCTTAAAGTTTACATGAGTTTGAAAAGCATTTGAAGTTCATTGGGGTCCTTAATGTATCATTAATGTATAAATTCAGTCACCACTGAATACAGAGACCATGATTCAGGGAGCCCTTGAGCTATTTCCAAAAGCTGGAAAAATCTTTGGAAGAGTTTCCTTAAGTATCTTCTGTTGGTGGTTCTTACAGATGATCTTCAATAATTGTTTTTAGCCTATGATTGAACATGGCACAAGAAGTTCATCCTTACTAGTCCTGGAATCATTCCTTCTTGCATACTCTCTTAAGAGAAGCCTTTTGCATTGTCTCCCTGAGCTGACATAGGACAAACTGTCTCAGATTTTATTTCATTTTAACTTGGGAAAATGTTAGTTTTTCCTAAATGAATCAGTTTATGTTGACATCTTGCTTTTTTCTGAAAAAAAAACCCCAAACAAACCAAAAGCTTGAATAAGAAAGGAAAGCTTCTGCCATCAGGAACCAGAAAACTTAAAACTGGTTCTCCTGTCCAAAGCACAAGCAAAGAAATGGCATTTTACTTAAATATTTAATTTATTTCAAGTCTTGCTGAATGGAGTGGAGTGTTTTGCTGAATGATCTCCATAGCTAGATAAAATACTCCTGTCATATGTCAGTGTTGTAACTGGAGAAGAGAAAAGCAGGGGTTTTGGTATATTTCAAAGAAGGATTGACTGCAGTGTGGGATTTTGAAGCAAGAAGACTCCAGCTTTGTTGTCTGCCATTAATTGTTTAAACAAGGTCCTTAATGGACCTTCATCTCTGTACATATTACACTGTCAGATTCACAGAAGATGTTAAAGTTGGGATATTTTTCTTTCTTGACTATGATTCATTTTCTAGGTGGAATTAAAACAAGCTATAACTTGAATTTAGGGTAAAATTATTTTTTTTTCTATGTTCTGCCTTTGTGCAGGGTTGGTTAATATGTGAGGAGCCAACTTGCCAGAATCGAACCCGTCGGCTTCCGCTGAGTTTCTCCCGGAGTGGCCCCGTGTGCCAGGCCTGCAAGAAGGCTGTTCTGAGACCAGAGGTGAGTGTCCTGGGACAAAGCTTTGACAGAAGTGGAGTGGGATTCTCCTGAAGCTCACCTGGCTCTCAACTCTGCCTTTCACAGGTAGCAGGATTAAGCAGGAATTTTTAATGAGTTTATTAGTTTAAAGGGGACTGTTTATGCTTTTCCTGCTCCACATTTAAGCTGCATCCTCATTGCTATGAAGAGAGCATGCCATGCAGCTGCTGTGTTTGGAAATTTTCCAGCTGATGAGCATTTGGTCAGCAAACTAGAATTTGCTGGAATTTCTCTGCCAGAATACAGGTAAATTAACATAGACAAACAAACCAAATCTTTCAAACCAAAAACAACCACCTGCTTTTCTTCTGACTGGTTCTTACATGGCTGAATTTGGTGCTGAGGAGCTGGAGGTGAGCTTTCATACCATCATCTGGGGGTACTCTAAGACGGTATTTTCAGGAGATCAGAAGTTCTGGGTTTTGCACATTTGAATTTGGCTCTATGCCTGAAAAATGTAGAAGCTTTTAAACCTCATGTTGAGCTAGATGGTCTGGTTTT